GGCATGGTTCAGGAAAACTTAATTCCAAGTATAGAAACCCACAACTCTTTTCATATGTCTTTCATACTGCACTTCCTATTCCATTTACTTCCCCTGAATCAGGTGCTTTTGTCAGTGTGAAGCATACGACTGATAGTTCATAGCAGCCTTCTCGCTTGCTTTTAGCTTGTGCTGGCCTTTGTCTTTTCACTTTTGAGTGTGATTGACTGGGTGTGTGTGTGTGTATAATATATGCATATAGATAGATAGATAATTATATAATATATATTATAATGACTATGTGTCATTCCAAGTTCTTCCTGGTAAAAGCCTCAAATTCCAAATTCCTTCCCATTTGCAACTGGCTTTTTCAATATCAGAACTTTTCTAAACCTGCAGTCAGTTTTGTTGCTGGGTACCCCATATCTGTGGCTTGTGATGGAAACATTGTAGTACATCTCCATCTATCCCACATAATTGGTGTGCTTCTGAACTTCCAGAGGAACTCATTTTGATTTGTAGTGTCTCCAAGCTGTGCCCAGCTATCACAGTAACTGAAGATTTTACAGTATATGCCTACAACTTACTGCAGCTTTTGGTATCTGCGCTTTGCCACTTCAAGTGAAGTGTTGAAAGCTTGCTTCCATTTAGAATCTTTTAACTGCTTCAATTTTACAATATAATAGCCTCAGGTATTATTTCCACACATAACAAGCACCACATCAGATGGTGGGATAATTTTTCCTTCGGTTGTAAAATGAGTTTTCAGAGTCATCAAAGAAAGCCTGGTCTATTGAATTCAGCTTCGTTTTTACACATTGCAGAATTCTGTGATTATTTTTTATTTATATCATCTTTTTCATTTAGTTCCAGCATGAACTCAGTGTGTCAGGCATGCCAGGCAGGTGAATCATCATGGAACTGTATTGCCAGTCAAAATGGGCTGTACAGACTGCCAAAGGTGGAATTACGTCACTCTATGGCTAAACGGCAACATATCTGAAACCGCATCTAAGTTGTGAAGGGTTGTAAGAGGAGGCTGTTAGTTCCCAGCTGCTTAGCCCCGAAATAATCACACAGAAACTATATTATTTAAATCATTGCTTGGCCCATTAGCTCTACCTTCTTATTGGCTAACTCTTACAGCTTAATTTAACCCATCTTCATTAATCTGTGCATCACCAAGAGGTTGTAGTCTACCAGCAAAGTTTCAGCATGTCTGACTCCAGCCGCAGCACCATGGCTTCTCTATGACTGCCTCCTTTCTCCCAGAATTCCGTTTAGTTTTCCCTGCCTACCTAAGTTCTACCCTATCAACAGGCCAAGGCAGTTTCTTTATTCACCAATGTTACTCAGCATATAGAGGGGGGAATCCCACATCAAAGGGTCACCCTGTTTCAAATTTCCTTCTTTTCTGAAATCTGTGTTTACTACTCTAGAGGTGGTGGGACCTGGGAGAATGCAACTAATAAATGGGACAGAGTAAAGTCTCATAGAATAGCCAACTTTATTCAGAGCATCAGACAATTTATACTCAGGGTTAAGAGTAATATGAATAAAGTGTACAATCACAAGGGCAAGCTTCACATGGTAGACAGGCTAAATACAGCAAAAGCAAGCTTTTCCATAGAAGTATATAAACAACAACCAGGTGTATTAATAATGTCAAGTAAACTCATTGCTATCTACTATACTTGGGAGGAGAACAGAAGAACACTCCAAGAAGAATTTTGAAGAAATTGAGGTCACAAGACTCTTGTCTTGGTCTTTTTTTTATTTTTCTTCTTTCTTTATTTACTTGAATTTTTGCATAAACACTCAGAATTCTCGCACAACTCCTTTCTTGGACCATATTCTGACATCTTAGTACTTGCTCCCGTTAGTCACTCTTTGCTGGTAGGCTTGAACTAGTCAATGATTCTCATGGTTTCCCTTCATCTGAAAATTTCTTTGTCCTGAAGGATCTTTTGTTCAGATACGGAATTTAGTGATTATTGTCTGGCACATGAGAAGTGTGGTGTCAGTTGCTCCTGGTTGCTATGGTTTCTGTTGAGGAATGCTGTCACTTTGCCATTCTCCAATAAGCAATGCCTCATTTCATTATGATGCCTTCAGTGTTTCCTCTAATCTTTGCATTTTGAGATTTACTTTTGTGGGGGTGGAGTCTGTCCCATTTGGGTATTTAGCATTCATATGCACAGAGAAATAAACACCTATGCACATACACATGAATCCACAGATTGCCTTGAAAGGGAAGGACCCAGGTCTTCAGAATTAGGTTATAGAAATTGTGGGCTCCGTTTTTTATCTTTGTAAGTCATACCAATTTTGCAAGTTTTAGTTTGCTAAACTAACAGCTTAAAAATGAAAACGGCACTAATCCTATTTGAAAACAATAACTATATATTTACTGTGTTTATACTATAAATAACAGATTAAATGGGTGCTTGAAATCTTTAATATCAAATTTTTCAGAAAAGTAGCACAGATACTGATAAAGCAACCAACAGTAGTCCATATGATAAAATAGCCCATTTGGTGAATAGTCCTTACAAGTTCATTTGGTAAACAAACACTTCCTGGGTTCAGAGCAGGCCAGAATGAATAAATCTGGAAGTGACATAATAGAGTATGCTAGCCAAGACCTCACACATTGTTCTCATTTGGGGTAAGTGCCATGCCCTTGAAGTAGTGAGCAGCTCCTTTGCTTCTACTGTCATGAATCATAGACTACTATTCTCTGTTTACTCTAAATTTGGAATCTTTGCTCACTTGCTACCTGATATGTGAGCTTTCTCTTCCAGTGATACACCTGATTGATACTGCTGAACTGCTCTTGGGGTGGAGGTGGGAAGTATTAAAATTTATTAAGTTCACAAACACACACACACAAAAAAAAAACCAACAAAACCACACCCACAGCAACAACAACAAAAAAAAAAAACCAAACAAACATGGAATGGAATTTGTTTTGTGTTGGTCAGCCTACTCCTAGGGCATATATGACCTGCTCTGGAGTAAGGTTAATATGCCCAGAGACATTCTGTTGGAGAAAACTAATTTTCCATTTTGATGCAGGTATCAATTGCCAATAGCTTCTTGATTAGGGCTGGTACACAGTATATATTTCCTTTTTTCAGTGCTGGAAGCACTACTTACTGTTTTGAACCTGTATAGATTTTGTGGGTGTTGCCATTCTGTATTATATGAAAAAATAATAAGTTGTTGTTTTACTTTTAAATTTCTAGAATCTAGAGTCTGTATAAGTCTCAACATCTGGGTCGTGACTTCTTTGGGGTCAAAAGGAGCCCACAGGAGTCACCTAGGACCATTAGAAGACACAAATATTTACATTATGTTTCATAACATTAGTAAAATTACTATTATGGAGTAGCAGCAAAAATAATTTTATGGTGTGGGGTCACCATGACATGACAAAATGTATTAAAGAACCATAGCATTAGAACAGTTGATAACCACTAGTCTAGGTGCAAGAAAATTTGGGAAGCATATTATCGATTAATTTTTGGAACTATCTTTTAAGGATCCAGTGGAAAAAAGTAAGACATTACTTAATGCAGTTAGTTTCCCCTGTTAGAGTCTAGTTGGCAAATGAAGTTCATTTTGTTCCAGTTTGTTTTACTCTGAGTTTTTGCCCACAATTTCCTGAGGCCAGGCTGCAACCCCCAAACCCTTTGCACAGGTGTGTAGAATGAGGTCAAATCACTAACACTGAATTCTCTTCTGACTGGTAATCCCAAAGCACAATTCCCTGATAGGCTGGAAGTATATCGCTATGGAAACTGCTTTTCCCTGTTTGTATGATGATTAGATGGGACTCTGGAACTGTCTTTTTGTGTGTGTGTGTGTGTGTGTGTGTGTGTGTGTGTGTGTGTGTTTGTTTTGTTTTTTAACTGACTGCTACCCTCATCTCAGGGAAGCGGTCTGGAGCTTGAAACCTGTTGTCTCCCTGATATATTGTTTTTTCTAAATAAATTTTGGCTGGATTGAAACCAGATTTTTATGGTGGATTATTCCAGATTCTTGGATCCTAACACTTGTAGACTTACTGGTATGTGTCATGTTTTTCTCTAGCCTGATAGGTATATCAGAGATTCAAGACAAGTTGGAACAGATCAAATCCTTCCTCATAGGCTTAAATACTTTGTCATTGTGCCTTTTCATATTTCCCTTCTAGTTTCAAACATCTCTTTTTTTTGGAACAAGAGGTGACTGACCACACAATCTTTCCCCTGTAATTTGTGTCAGCTACAACCTTTGATTTTTATTTTTTTAAAGAAAAACAACTCTGATAATTTATCAATGTTTTTTTGTTAAGGACACCACTACTCAAATTCTAAACTGTCCTGGATTATAAGCATGCTATCAGATATTATTTTCTAAACAAGTTATTAAGACACTTTATTAGCTACTTTATTATCAGTTGTATCCCCATACCCTTTGGCCACCAGTAGCCCAAGTATAGATATAACTAAGATCATGGCAGAGATCAAAATGGCAACAAGAACAACATCAGGAAAAACCCAAAATCTTCTGTTTTTTCAATATCATTGCCATATATTCTGGAGCAAGTATATTCACCATGAGAAATGGTCTCTTCAGAAAAGCATGGACTGCACACTGTGACATAGAATAGATGGTGATCTTTAAAGTGATGTACCCATCTCCTCAAAATCTTATACTGTAAAAAGAAAGGCATTTGTGTAGGTTGTCACTTTGCTTGTAAACACTACTGTGAAATTACAAAAGAATTTATAATAGTTCTGCAATCATCTTTTAAAACAAACAAAGCAAATATTGCTTTGTTGAATTAGGAGCGGTGGGGCTGCATCCCCGGCACCCGGCCGCCCGCATGGCTAGCTTATGCCCGAAATAATTACATGGAAACTGTATTCTTTTAAACACTGCCTGGCCCATAAGTTCCAGTTTCTTATTGGATAGCTCTTATATATTAATCTAACCCATTTCTAATAATCTGTGTAGCCCACAAGCTGGCTTACCAGGAAAGATCTTAACCTGTGTCTGTCTGGAGTGGGAGAATCATGGCGACACCTGACTCAGCTTCTTTCTCCCAGCATCCTGTTCTGTTTTCTCCTCCCACCTAAGGGTGGGCCTATCAAATGGACTAAGGCAGTTTCTTTATTAATAAGAAATCACTCCCACATCATTGCTTTCTCACATAAATCTTGTCAAAACAATAGTGTTAGGAAACTTTTAGAACACACAAAAATATATATTCTTGCAGTTTCTCATCTCTGGAGATCAATTCTACATTCATTTGACTTCAAAGCAACTTTTGAGAAAAGTAATTTAGAAAGCATAGCCTTATTTGACTGACCATAGTCACAGAAGCACAAGTTCTGGTTATTATTACCAAATTATTTCCAGAAAATGTAAATGACATGTTGAAATAATGTTTCTCAGAAAGGTAAAGAAAGAAGGTCAAAGCATGCTTAGATTTGGATGCCAAGACAAAGAGAAGGCACAGTCCACACTGTGGTGATGCAGGCAGACAGGGTAAAGCTTCTTGTGATCACACAATTCACTTGCTTCTTCTGGTTACCTTGACTACAGACCTCTTTTCAACAGAGATTAATAATTAATAGGAAGTAACAGGAGTCTTAAAATTTTAACACATTTACTGCTGACCTTTCAAGATAAATACTTCAAGGCTTAAGTTCAAACAATATATGTTCAATGATTCGCTTATTGAAAATAAAAATCCTTATAAAAAGCTTACTGAGCATGTGTAGTATGACCGGCGAGATGTACAACAGTTTATATGAATCACAGCAATGTAGGAAGTGAACAACTTCATGTTAATTATTCAAGTTCAGTAACACAGCATGGCATTCAAAGGATATTTTCACTTTGTTTTTATATGTGTGTGTATAGCATCAGAAAAAAATAAAGCTTTCTCTTTCAAACTTTATAGGTCTTTTTTAAAACACAAGTAAGTGATTTATTGTTTGATAATTAAGAAAGTTTAAGATTAATATTCCAAATTATGTTTAACTCAAGCCTCGAATTCTTCCTTTAAAAATCATCCACATCAATCAGCTAGGGCACAGACAATATCATCTGCATATATGCACAACTCTAGAACAAACAAGTCATAAAGTCTAAGGACAGTCTTCAGATCAATTAGTAAAGGCAATGGTATTCTTAGGATGGTTAAAAATTGATTATTTTTACAAACATACATGACCAGTAAATAGACACAAATAAGGAATATTAAAACGTCATTTTTGTTTCTGGTCTCAAAAGGTTACATACTCAATTGTTCGACTCATACAACAACTTGAAGTGGCTTTGTATTGTTGTTCTTGTGTATGTATGTAGTGATGTGTGTGTATGCATACGTATGCGTGTACAGACATGAATTATCTGTGTCAGACAGAGGAGGGCATCAGATACCCTGAAGCTGGAGTTGCAGGTGGCTGTAAGCTGCCAGATGCAGATGAGCTGAATGGAACTCAGGTCCCACGCAAAAGCAGAAAGTGCTCTTAACTACTGAACCATATCTCTTATCCCTCATGATTTCATTACTTGAATAAATTCTCACACTAAAGATAATCTTGTACTCATTATATGAACGAAGTAGTTTAAGTAAATACCAAGTAAAGTGATCTTAATTACATGTTTTAAAGGGGCAAAGCTGAGGTTTAACTGAAGGCTGGTCTTTCAAGAAATCTTGATATTTCCGTGAGACCTCATCCCTCAACACTGCATGTAACCCCAGTTAGATGCTTCGGAATCAGCTGTGACTCAATAACCAATGGCAAAAGCTACTTGAAGATGTTCACAACTGTTGTTTTCTCCCAGGAACATTGACATATTAAATTTCTTGGGCATGCTGACAGACATTTTTTTTTCTAATTGTGTGTAAAAATTCTATGAACACAGATTATATTTTTCCTCAGTAAGAAAAGTGATGATTAACTTTGGTATCACCTTGACTTCATTAAGCAATTAATATGATATTAGAAGAGCATAACTCTGGCTGTGTCTCAAAGAGGTTTCCCAGAAACAATTATGGACTCTGACCTATGCAACAGATGTATCCCCAGATGAATCCATATTGCCATCATTTTCTTAGGAGGCAGTGAAAACTAGGAAGTGGGACATTGCAGAAGATGGATCATCATGGGATTATGCCTTGCCCTGGCTTTACTTACTTTTTTTCTGCCTGCTGTCTAAAAAGAAGTGAAGAATAAATTTCCACTGCCACGTATTGTTCTGCCCAGCTTAAAAAGGCCATGTGACCAATAATGGAACTTCTGAACCCATTAACCAAATCAAATTTTCTCCTTTTAGTGGTTTCTCTTAGGTATCTAATCACACGAATCCAAACTCTGACCATTGGATCAAACACAGGGAAACGCTGCTTAGAAATCCTGGGACTGTTAAACAATTCAGATTTCCAAATTATTCTTGTTTTGCGGTATTAACTAACCAATAATTTGTCTTAAATTTCATGATTCTGATTTTACCACAGTCAACTTTTTAACCATACCAGCAAACAATACCAGGTACTCATCTTCCCGCCCCTCTTTCTCTCTCTCCTCTATCTGCAATCACATACTTAACTGTTTACAGGGGCTGCTTCATTTCTAGCTCTTCTGCTTTTGATTTTCACCTACCCATCCTTGTCCCTGAGATTTTCAGATATCCTGCTTTTCTATCACACACACACACACACACGCACACACACACACGCGCGCACACACACACACATTCTTTCTCTTGTTTTCCTTCTATTGCCACTTTCTTTTTTATGAATGTACACCCATGCTTTTATTCTGCTAGCATTGGCTCACCATTGTTTATGCCTGTGTTTTAGTGTTGAGCCTACACTATTCTGTGCCTGCTTATAGTTAGTCAACCCTGGAAACTACTCACTCGAGCCTCTGAGAATGCTTCATGTTTAGTTGTTTGTCTTCTCTTACATTACTAATCTCTTGCTCTTTTTAAAAATTTTGCCTGTTGTTTTTATAACATTTTGTGGTAGTCACTAACACATTGCTGTTATTTTAATTGGTTAGTTCTTCGCATTTGCTCACATTTTTCATTTCTATTACTTAAAATTTCTTTTGAATCTAATTATGATTATTCCTAAGTTCCTTCTTCAAAATCTTGATCTGAAATACTAAAGGTGGATCTATGCTGACTATTTTTGTGTACTATTGCTTTGTCTTACTGGTAGTAAAAGTTAAATCCATGGCAGGTAACCTCTGCAGGGCTCCCAGTGATCTCTGTCTCCAGTATTTATAATACAAAATTATCCTCTTGCATTGAATGTGAACTAGCCTTTTCTGTCTATCAAATAAAGTATGGCAGAAATGGCAGAATGTCTTTCTAAGATCAGACACATCACAATTCTGCATCTTCCATGATGCTTCCGTTGTCTTCAAATTCCAGTGTTCCTGGAACAGAAGTCAGCTCCCATGTGTCCCACCATGTCATCTAATAGGCTTCGATTCCAGGTGATGGCCACTAAGGAACTGACTCTTGCAGTTTATTTGCATGTCATCATATTTTGCCGGGTCCAGAAATGTGATGAGCAAGTAATGGTGTCTGCTGCAATCTCACTGATGGCTTACCTGGGATATATTTTTCCTTCTGAGCTCTTCAGACAATCTTTTTCTCCTTTATCTCTCTATCTAGTGTCTTTGATTTTTTATGTAGTTGATTCTAGGATCCTTTTAGTCACTATGTGTTTACTTACATAAAATATTTTGCATATATTGCATAATTTTGATACACTGATAAGACACTGGACTGATAATATGTTCAGTGTTTAGCATTTGTCTAGCATGCTTGACACTCTGGGTTTAATGGCTGCCATTGGAAAGGGAATCAATTGCCAATTTTGACAAACTACATCCACTAAGGGGACAAGCCTTTTCCTTACCTGGGAGAGATTATTATGAGGTGGGAAGACTACCTTATTAAGAGGAAGCAGCAAGCCCTGGATTTCAGTCTTCTATTGGATAAAAAGGACAAATCAACAAAAGTCCACACACTAAGAAGCCTTTGATTCCTGACTGCCAACACAATGTATCCAATTACCTTAAGCTTCAGCAGCCAGGATTTTCCCACTGTTGTGGACTATAACATCAAACTGTGAATGAAAATAAATATTTCCTCCCTAAAACTGCCTTTGTTGTCTCAGCTGAGTTTTGGTTTTGCATTGGTCTGTTCTTTGCTTGGTATGCCCCCCATTCTTCTCTTTGGAATGGTGGTATTTCTATTTTGCTATTGTGTGTTGGAAGTATGTAGATTACCTTTTGATGGTCCAGAATCTGGGAAATAGCATCCTTGTATTCCTCTTGCTGTGTCTTCTCAGAATACAATGGGAAAACAATTGAGGAACACTTACCATTGACAACCTCTGACTTTCACAGATAATATGGGTGGGTACACCTTCCAACACACATACGGAGATAGAGAGAGAGATACAGAAAGATAGAGAAAGAGACAGAGACATAGGGATAGAGAGACAGAGACATAGGGACAGAAAGACAGACAGGTAATAGTTTATTTACACCAGCTGCTGTGTGGAGTATACCTTGACAAATTTTCCCTATTTCAGGACTGTAGTTGTTATTTCTGAAAATCAGATTTCTATTAGATTTTCAACTTTTCAGAGGTGGGGTATAGATATGGGGTTGTTCTGTGGTCTACATTCCAGCTTTTTCTTGTGAAGATGCTAAGTAAAAGCAGCTCAAGTTATAGTATATCGTTTCTGTTTATGTATGGGCCTGCTGCTTTCACTCATGTATGGAGTCTCTAATTACCAGAGACATCAAATGCCATGACCAGAGGCCCTGGCTATGGAAAATTCAGGGACTAAACTACATACCTAAAGGAATGAAACAAGAAAGAAATCGATTGTGTACTTTAGACATGGCACTGTGACATTGCTGCAAAAGATGGAGAGAATGCAGACAGATGGAAAGCAGAGAGACCAGCAATTACTGCAGAAAACCAGATAAGAAATGGTAAGAAACTGAAGCAGCACGAGGCAATAGGAGACAAAGTAAAAGAAAGCCAATTGGAGCATGGTTTTCATTATCAAATTAAT